GCCCAAGTATGGTCAAAAGCTGAGTGCTTAGGCTGGGACTTGGGCGGCTAGGAACTTCAGGGGAGGAAGCCGGTTTAGTAGCCAAGAATGCAGAACTAGGTTTTCTAAGTTTTCAGTAACTTTCCTTTGTTCTGAGATGGGGGAAGGGGATTGGAGTGACAGAGAGAGGACGAGGGCTCCCAGGACCATGCAGAGGTGAACCGGATTGCATCACCTGGAGGCATGGAGGAAGGCGTCCTTGAGAAACACATCACCGGGTGGTTCCCTCATGTGTGAACATCAGTGTACCTGTACAGCCTTGTAGGTAGGCAGCCTACGCCACAGCAGGACCACACACTGTCTGGCACGCAGCTCCACTATAACCTTATTGCTGGGCATGTAGTCTGTCACAGAAACTTTATTGTGGGCATTTGGCAGCAAAGAACGAACGCCCTCTGTATATTTGGGGCATAGATTACACTGACATGGAATCGGCTCACTTTGCATACTCATTACCTGTTTCCAATATATTCATACATGGGCTTAGACTTTTATTGCCTGTTTAATAAGCAGTTCTTAAAATCTTTGAACATTTAATAATAATTAACTCTTGTAAGCTAAAATAGCTACATCCCACTACCCTCTCCCACAGTTCCTATCCTTGAGAAAAACACTTCCCACAGGGCCCTCTGTTGGGGGGAGGGGTAGGTGTTCCCCAGAGAGTGTGTGTGCAGTGTGCAAGTTAGTGTTTCCTGAGGCCTCGGGTGGCCATGAAACCCAAAGTGACGGCTACTCTCTGCAGTCACACAACTGTGGATGGCAGGGGACCAGAGTGGGGGACACCGGGAAAGGGAGAGAGAATACTCAGACAATGGTCCCTGGCCCCTCAGTCCTAGTCCTACATCCTTCCCTTCTAAGGACTTCCTGAACTGCCATGTTGTTGTATGGAAGGGGGGCTCACTCCACAACAGCTGCCCACTCTGAGGCTTGGGTGAGGATAAGAGCTGTGTGGGCAGGAAAGTCCCTTCTACGTGACACGGCCAGTCTATAGAGACAAACTCAGTGCTGCTCTTTAGAGACCATAGACAACTTACTTGGCTTTCTTGCACCCCAGGTTTCCCATCTATATGGGGGTGTGTGGATGTGGGCTGCGGTGTTGTGTAGTCTCCTCAGCATTGCTCTGAGGTGAATATGGACTTATGTAGCATGTTTGGTTCCTCAATAAACATTGGCCATATCAAGATTTCATTAAAAAATTGTCTTTGCCTGAGGGTTTTACACAAACGTCTCAGAAGTAGGCTGGGTTGGGAGGTTTGTCAACGAGACTTCCAGAACCCACCTGCTTTTAAGAGCCAGGCAGTGACGATAGCCAAGAAATGGGTTGGGAATAAGAGGCCAGACAGATGCCTCTGGCTCCCGCATGGGTGTTTTGTAACTTTTCCTAGTGGCAGTATCAGGGTTACGGTGAGTAGATTATTTCCAACCAACCAAACCCCCCCCCAAATACTGACAATTTTATTACCTTCCCTGGAGGAAGCGGAAGCACTGTGCACGCACACAAGCAGTTTTAACTCCCGAGATTCTGACCATTTCCAAGGGTCAAGCCATCCTTGTGTGAGTTAACTGTTATGGGAGCTATTGTATTGTTTTCTGAGACAGGGCCTCACTAGGGAGCTTCAGCCGGCCTCCATCTCATTGAAGCCACTTGCCACTGCTTTCCCAGTGCTTGGACCACAGGCGTGCACCACCACACCCAGCCAGCCAAAGAGGAAGTTAACTTCGACCTAGACCTCCAGAAGCCCTGCTTCTCCCTGGGGGTAAGTTGGAAGGTGGCTGAGGAAATGTTTCCTGCCTCGCCTTTCAGGGAGTTTAACACTCAACAGGCCCTTCCTTGATTTCCTCATTTGCAAAGTCACCAGTCTCCTCACATGGCTTCTGGGCACACTGCAACTCTTCACTGTCTGGCCTTTGGGATCAACAGTTCTGGCTTCAAATCCTGGCTCTGCTATTCATCAGCAGTGAGATCCTGGATCTCTGAATGTCTTCCCCTCCTTACCACTGACAGAGCAGGGATAATTACAACTTGAGGAGCTGTATCAGGGTTAAGAAACTGTGAAGATGCTTGAGCAAGGCTCACCTCAGGCCCACAGCCGATGATTGAACAAGGCTCAGGTCCACAGCCAATGGTTGAACAAGGCTCGGCGCAGGTCCACAGCCACTGAGTAATAACAGGACACAGGCAGGTATGACCTGGACATTTTATTACCTGTTTACCTTGGGCTTCATCTCTGGCCACTTCCCAGTTCTCGGGCATCTCTGGTTTCCTGAAGCCATAGCAGGTGCCCACTAAAGACTCTCCAGTCCTACATACGTCTATACATGTACGTGCATGGACCTTGAGCCAGTCTCATTTAGAGCAGAGGATGGCCTTAAGACCACTGTATAGCCAAGGGTGACCTTGAATTTGTCAGGTCTCAAACTAGGGACAAATGGCCCAGGTGCCCATTTACTTCTTCCTATATAATCCCGCCATTTTGGCTACACCAGTCCTTTTACCCTCTTAGCTTCTTGGTGCCCTTGTTTCCGGGCTCTTCGCTCTCCTCACATGGCCGGACTCGGTCTGGCCCTGTTCACTCTGGACTCTCCCAGATGTCCCTGCCTCCGACCATGCTCTCCTTTGTCCACAATAAACCTTTTCCTCCATCATACCTAGGAGCAGCCGTGTCCTCCTGTTTTATGATGTTCTTCCCCTTCACCTCTGAACGTTCACCTCCCAAATGCTGGGATTACAGATTGCTCCACCACATTTGGTTAAGGCTCACTTGCGCCCAGGCTGGAACCTGAAACCCAAACACCTCCCAACCATAGCCCTTCTTCAGGTTCAGCAAGAAACTGCTAGCACTCAGCCAAGCCTCCTTCTCTCTCTCTCTCTCTCTCTCTCTCTCTCTCTCTCTCTCTCCCTCCCTCCCTCCCTCCCTCCCTCTCTCTCTCTCTCTCTCTCTCTCTGAGTCAAATGTATTTTTCTCAATACTTAAAACCAGGAAACTGGTTGGTGCACACCTTCTACAAAGTACCAGGATAAGCTCCAAAGCTACACAGAGAAACTCTGTCTCAAAAAAAAAAAAAAAAAAAAATAAAATAAAAATAAAAAAAAGCAGGAAAATGAAAACAAACAAAACATCAGAAAACTGAGGTTGCCTTGTCTTGGGCTTCTGAGCAAATACAGTCTCTAGCTGAACCCTGAACTTGGTCACTCGAGGGAAGAAACAATCTTCATACCACACTAGGAAAATGAACTCCCTTGACCCAGTGTTCCAGGAGCCTAGAAATCAAGTGTAGATGAACAACCCCTGGCCCTGGCCCAGAAGAGTCAGACCATTTTCTCTTGGGGCCACTCAGCCATTATCTCTAAGCAGGCGGGAATGGAGAACACCTCTGGTTCCTCCTTGTGGGTTTTTGGTTGTTTTGCTTTAGAAAACAGGGTCTTGCTAGCTTAAGGTGGCCTGGAACTCACTGTGCGTCCCCAGCTGCTTCTCCCCGTGTTGTGCAGCAAGCATGCACCACCACGCTCAGCTTCCCAGGCTTCAGAGGAACTGGCCTCCCACGCTAATATGGGTACTGCCTGGAGCCTGGCAGCTTAGAAGCAGAGGGACAGCAACTGTCTCCACTGAGCTATTGAGAAGCCAGGACATGGTCCTTTGGCCCAGGGCCAATGTCAGGGGCAAAGACCATGTCTGGCTAATTCAAACTCTCAAATATATTGGGGCTGACTGCCATGCAGCCGCTACCCAGGGGACTCAACCCACGGTGAGCAGACCTAGAGAGCAGGAGCCCCTTTTGGGAGGTGGGCAAGACTAAGCATCACCATGCTTCAGCACTCGCAAGTTGCCTAAAGAGAAATCGTGTTGGAGCCGGGCGGTGGTGGCGCACGCCTTTAATCCCAGCACTCGAGAGGCAGAGGCAGAGGCAGAGGCAGAGGCAGGCGGATCTCTGTGAGTTCGAGGCCAGCCTGGTCAAGAGAAATTCTGTTGGGTGAAGGTATCCTTCCCCAGCAGAGGCAGCAACTAGTCTTGGTCCAGGGACGAATGCCTGACTCTGGGCTCTAAAGGATGTGTTACAACAGAGGGTGAGATGAACAAAGGAACCACTGGCCTACAGTGGCAGGTCCACACCTACAAATGCACCAAGAACCTCCAGCCAGCATTTAGGGCCTCAGGAGACCGCCCACGAGTCCCGGAGCCTGTGAACCTATACCTAATAGCTCACTTGCATGCCAACTGTTCTACACAGGTGTATTTTGCCACCTTAACCTCTAAGCACTGGAGAACGGGGTACGTGGCTCTTGCTTCTGTCACATTTCCTGAGATTCCATCCAGCATTTGCTGGGTACAAAACAGGCAACTCAGCACATGTATCATATTCTAAGGCCAAGTGCAGTGGCTCATGCCTGTAATTCCAGCCCTAGGAGGCTGAAATGGGGAGGAGCCAAGGCTGTGTATGAAGTTCCTGGAAAATCTGGGCTAGACTGAGATCCTATCCCAAACAAAAACAAAACCTAAAATCAGAGCTGGAGAGACAGCTCAGTGGTTTAGAGGACCTAGGTTTGATTCCCAGTACCCTAACCCTAACCATCTGTAACTCTAGTTCCGGAGGATGGTGCCCTCTTGTGGCCTGCATGAATCCTGCACGCATCTGGTGCAGTCATACATAGCAAAACACCCACATGCATAAAATAATCTAAAAAAATAAAAAGCTCCAAACCAATCCAGTTTTGGGGAGTCTGCCAACGCTTGTCTCTGCCTTTGGGATTGGATGTTAATATATTTATGGAACGTCACAGAGTATTTCTGATATTAGCAACAGAAATTCCTCAGGACCAAGAACGGACTCAGCAGCAACCCCTGCCTACTGCTGGCCCAGGACCCTGCCCTTGACTGCTATGGTTGGTCTTGGCAGGATAGTGACCTGGAGTCTGAGGAGGAAGAGACAGAAATGAAGTGTGGCAAGGCAAACAGCGGCAGGACGTTTGGGACTGATTTTATTAGGGCTTCTCACAGTGGTTAGAGCCACTCTGTCTTCAGAACGATCACAGCACAGGATATGTGTCACCCAGACTGCCCAGGGACCCAGAGCAGTGGACTCTTATTGCTTAAGATACACATATTCACAATAACTGACGGACGCCCATGTGCCTCGCACAGGAATGTGTTAGCGGCTGCAAAGCTGACCGTAGCACCAAACCCTCTGCCTACCCTCTCCTCCCACAGACCTGGAAACCCCACTCAGCCAAATCTCCCTGGCCCCTAACTCCTATTTCCTGTGCTCGCTCTGAGCGCCAGTGTGGCCTGAGGCAGCAGGGGCCCAGACTGTGGTGCTGCCATCTTGGTGGGCGCTGTAGTGAAGCCAGTCCGCAGTCAGGTCAGCTCCCCATCCTGCCAGGGAAAAGAAACTGGAGAGGGCTCCACCTCATCGCTAGTTAACTGAAGAGGGATTCGTTTTGGGGAGAGTAAGTTCTGAGTTGTCTGGGACTTTAACAAGTGTGTGAGGGCTGCAGCTCGGGGCCCTGTGGCCACACACCAACCCCTCGAGACCTCGGCAGAGGAGGTGCAAGCTTGTGGCATCGAGGTGTCTGCCAGGGACTCCTGGTGATCCTGGGCAGGCCGACGTCTGAGCCACAACCGGTCCAAGCTTGTCACTCAAGACTCAAGCTGTCTGACCGCAGCGGAGGGAGGGAGACCCGTTCAGAATACATTTCCACACACAGGGAACAGAATGTAGGCCTCTGAGTGTCCGTGGAGCACTGGGCCAATCGCAGTGGTGGGCTGAGGAAGAAGCCTCGCCCTGGAGAGCAGTGTCGCTGGCAATCAGAGGCGCTGCCGGCGACACCGGAGTACAGTCAGACGTTTGTTCGGTAAACAGTAAACGCGTAAAATAAATTACCTTGAGAGGGCCAGATGTGCTCCAGACATGTGGCTAACGTGAGCAGAATGGTCATTCAAAGTATCTTCACAGGAACACAGGGCTCGGGGCCACATACAACTCACACAATCATGCACACATACACACACGCGCACACACACGCCATCCAACATCACTGTGTAGACTTCACTTTTGTTCGACAAGGATTTTGGTTTGTGGCATCCAAATGCGGACACACATCACCTCACAGCCTCAACCTGTGTGTGTGTGTTTACACGTGGACCTCGGACCTGTGTGTGTGTTTACATATGGACCTTTCTCTTCCTTTCTCCTTCCATTACTAAGGACGGTGCAGAGTCTACATATCATCGTTCAAGAGCGGGGAAGGGACCACCCTCCTTGCATGGACAGGGCTGGGCGGGGAATGTTCGTTTCAGCTGCTTCTAGGCTCCTTTTTCCTACCAAAGCCAGGTGATGGCAGCCAGGCCCCAAGGTCCTGCTGGAGGTGACTGTCACCCCCTGCCTGAGAGACTCTTTACACAGGCTGTGCAGGTAAGGCACCCCTCTCCAGTAGGTTCGGGGCGGGGGCAGCCATGAGAAGCACAGATAACAACAGTGTTCCTTCTAAGTGGTCAGTTTAAAACAAACAAACACAAACAACAGACTCGGATAACTCAAGAGAAAATACCATGTGAGGGCCAGGCTACGAGGCTGCCTTGCCCAGGACACACAACCTCCTCGGTCCATCTGCTTACAGAGGACAGGGAGAGACTGCAGATTGCATTCAGGATGGACGGGGACCACTGGGCACCTTTGGGCATAGACAATGGGCAGAAGTGGAGGATGCCATATCTCTACCAGACATCAGACTTAGATCTCCACTCACGGAAGGGTCAGGACTACCGCATTCTCTCCTGCTGGCCCAACATTATAGCCAGACTCTTGGAAACTCAACCTGCAGAGAGCTGCAGAATTCCCTCGTACAGAAGAGGATTCTTGCCTGTCCGCCCATGCGGCTGTTTCCAGCTAGCCTTGGTTATTTGTTTCAAAGGAAAACGCAGAGAACACAGGGTAAGCGTCTATACCTGAACCAGGCTGAAGCCAGCCGAAGCCTGCTGGGAAGGGCCCCCTCTACAATGCAGGGGTGCACTCTCTACCTGGGGCTTGCCAGATACAAGCCCCCCACCAACCCGCCCACTGGCTCTCACCCTCCCACAGGGTTAGACCAATGCCAGCTCTGCAGACACTGGCAGCCACAGGTGACAGCCACGGGCCCAAGTTTCCCTCACTCGGGGCCAAGATAAACTGTCTCTCCCAGACTGAGACATAGCGAAGGTCTCTTCCAAACCACTATGTCACCGAGAACCATCTTGGAGCCCAGCCCCAGTCCGGGGTGGGGGGGCTTTCCAGACACACGTTTCTCAGCCGAGCAGGTAGGTGAGATACAGCTCTGAAAAGGGAGGTGCGGAATGAGTCCCAGAACCGGATTCTCGGTCTTCTACAACACTGTGCTTTTGTGGGGGGAGAGGAGACATCCACACCCCAAACTTGTACCTGGAGACGTGGGAAAAGTGGGACGGGAGGGGAGAAAAAAATGAAAGGACAAAGTGGCCGTACCACTTCTCAAAGTCACTTAATGCTTCTCTTGTGGGTGTCCCCTCCTGGTTGTCTGTCAAGCTCTCCGGTGCAGGCAGGGCCTGCTCTAGCTGGGGGAGCCGCCGCGCTGCGAGTTTGGCGAGTCCTGTTCATTGATGGTGTTGAGCAGTAGGCATGCCGGCGGCCGTGGCAGGTGGGGGTGCCCAGGCTCTCGAGCCTGCTCCTCAGAGGCCAGGCAGAGCCCTTCTTCTTCGTCAACGGGAGGTCGTACGTGACAACTGTCACAGAAGTCCAGGGGCCCATCCAGGCCATCATCGATCAGAGTATTGAACTCTTTGAGACCATCGTCATGGTGGCCCCGGTTGCACACACACACCTCAATGCCTGAGTCACCCGTGAAGCGGCGATGTCGGCCAGGGGTCTTGTCTTTGTTGTCGGGGGGTACACTACCATGCTCCAAACTTGAATCTTTCAGTAGCTCCTCCTTACACTCCGAATCCCTGTCCAGGAAGGCCCCTGGGTCCAGCTCCCCGTGGCCGGCCACTGAACCACTGGACTCCATTCCAGGGTCTTTGGTGGCTTCCCGGTCAGCGGGCACTTCAGAGGGCTGAGGGTCAGCGACACTCGGGGGTCTTGTGCTGCTTCTACTGGGTCCAGACAGAGGACTGCTCTGTGCCCCCTGGGAGCCCTGGGGTGGGTCAGCGCCTGGGGGGCTGCCGCCTGCAGGGCCACCCTGAGGGGGCAGCAGCTGCTGCTGGAAGGCACTGTATGGTGGGGGAGGAGTCGGAGGTCTGTTCACCACTTCCTCATAAGGAGGTAGTAAATAGTTTGGCAAAAACCCTAGAACAAGGAGGTACAGAGGAGAGATTAGCAGTGGCCAGCATCCTAACAAAGTGCACACTGAACCTGCTATTGTCCCCTCCCACCTCGGAAGCAGAGCCATCAGTGGCGGCCATGGGTAAGCGGAGGGGACTAGCAACTGCCTACAACAGTGTTTCTCGACCTTCCCAATGCTGCGACCCTTTAGCGGGTCCTCGCGTTGTGGGGACCCAAGCACAAATTCTATTTGCTGCTATTTCACAACTGTAAACTTGCTACCGTTATAAACCGTAATGTGAATATCTGATACACAGGCTATCTGATGTGATCCCTGTGAAAGGGGTTGCAACCCACAGGGTAAGGACCACCGGCCTACAGGAAGAACAGTGTGGGTGTGACCCGACGGTCCTTCTTGTCATCTGAGAACCCCTGATGCTGCCTTCCTGGGGTTAAGGGACAAGGGGAGGCAGGTGTGGTGAACTGGCTTCTTCCTAGAACGAACCTGCTTCCCAGGACACACAAGCCCCACACTTCTTCCTTTGAAAAAGCTTCCATTTTTTTGTTTTGTGTTGGGGAAGGGGAATAGCGGGCAAGAGAAAGGAAGGAGAGCGTTGAACCTATACACTTAGGTGCAGTACCTAAGGCTGCCAGAAGAGGGAGCTTGTTGGCCTGATCCTGAGTTACTCTGCTCTATGGTGGGGAGAACTGAACTTGGGTCCATAGGTAGGCTCTGTACACGGTGCTGGCCCCACATTTCTTGCTCAGTCTGTGTCCTCCGTCTGTTCTTAGGCCTCAGTCAAGGGCCCTAACGTAAGCATTATGGACCACACGCTCTTTTTCTCCTCCCCCCCCCCCACAGGTATCTCAAGTGCGGGGCTTTTTCCTGAAGGTCAGGAATCCAGACTGCCTCTGTCACTACAGGGCGGTTGAAGATGCTCTGGAAGGACAGACAGGCAGCACCTTGACTCGGCTCGGGAGCGGTGAGTGAGGGGCCCCTGTCACCAAGGCACATCACATACATGCCAGGTGAGTTCCTCCTGAGCACGCCGAATGTCATGAGGCTCAGACCATCTATCTCAAAACTGCAACGGCAGCTGCGAGCATCTTCTGAGCACTTACTGTACACACCCAAGGCGCCAGGCTAAGCAGCTACCCTCCAGCTATGGAGCCCGAACATTTACGACACTATTATTCTGTATAATGTGCCCGATGGCTTTAGACAAGATGCCTGGTTGGGGCCTCCGTGGATCACATGAGAGCACAGTATGGGGAATTCCAGAATCAGGATTTTAGTTACGTCACCAAGTTTCTGTCTGTCTCTTCCATTGAGACTTTATAAGGAACCCACATGGCAGCAAGTCAAACAGGAGGGTTCAGGCGGATGAGTGCCAGATCTCAAGCCACTAAAATTATACAGACTTCCATTGACTATGTGCCTTTTAAAAAAATCCAGAGGGTTGGAGAGATGGCTCAGATGTTAAGAGCACTGCCTGCTCTTCTAGAGGTCCTGAGTTCAATTCCCAGCTCCCACATGGTGGCTCACAACCATCTATAATGAGATCTGGTGCCCTACATGCCAGAACCCTGCATACATAATAATTTTTTTTTTTTTTTTAGTTTTTCGAGACAGGGTTTCTCTGTAGCTTTGAAGCCTGTCCTGGAACTCACTCTGTAGACCAGGCTGGCCTCAAACTCACAGAGATCCTCCTGCCTCTGCCTCCTGAGTGCAGATTAAAGGCGTGCGCCACCACTGCCTGGCAATAAACAAATCTTTAAAAAAAAATCTATTTCAAGGCCATTCTTGGGTTCCATATAATGAATTTGAGGCCAGTGTGGGCTACATGAGACCCTGTATTAGTTTATGTGTGTGTGTATATGTGTGTGTGTGTATAATATACATGTATATGTGGTCTGTTAAAGGGTCAGAGATCTAGCTGCTGTGAGCCTGGGAATGGCTCTGAGGACTTTGGGGACCACGACCATAGCCTGATCCACTGTGTGATTCTCTACTTGAGAGCCCCTGAGTGTGGCAACAGAGGGCAACCTTGGCCAGGCGTCTTAACCACGATGGACCATTCGGGGGCAGGCTCTGTGCGACTAAGCCCCCGAGGACGGGGTATGGTGATCTGGGCTGAACGTACTGAAGTAAAATGGCAGCGCTGAGTAATTGTGGGCTTCCCGGTAGGCGATCAGGTTGATTTCATGTTGCCGCTGCTGGGCCTGAAGGCGGTGCTTGGCTCGGCGGTGGTGGCAGACGCAGCAGCAGCTCAGAATGATGACGACGGTCCACACTAGCCAGAACCCTGGGAGTTGGGGAGGCAAGACAGAGAGGCACACACAGTGAGGACCGGCAAGATGGGGCGGCTCGCAATCGAGGTCTAGACGGTACCCTCACAGCTGGGCACAATCGAGGTCTAGACGGTACCCTCACGGCTGGGCACACACAGTGAGGACCGGCGAGATGGGGCGGCTCGCAATCGAGGTCTAGATGGTATCCTCACGACTGGGCACGATCAAGGTCTAGATAGTACCCTCACAGCTGGGCACAGACAGCAGGCCTCACCCTGTCATTTTATGTCAAACCATACATTCAAAAAACAATAAAAAAAAAAAGATTTATTTATTGAGTATGTATAGTGTTCTGTCTGCATGTGTCCCTCCAGGCCAGAAGAGGGCACCAGATCTCATTAGAGATGGTTGTGAGCCAACATGTGGTTGCTGGGAATTGAACTCAAGACCTCTGGAAGAAGAGGTTAGTGCCATCTCTCTAGCCTCCTTAAATATCTTTTTGCTACAGGCAAATATGCTCAGGACAAAAGGAAGGGAATGGGAAGGAAAGGAGGGTCAAGCCCATCAATCACTTCAGCACACTGCCAGGGTCTGTGCTTTAGATGAGGTGGACACTAATACGAGACCCTAGACAAAATACTTGAGCCTTTCTGCTGCTGGCTCCCTCCTCTGTCCCAACCCAGAAGACCTGCAATTGCGGGGGATTCCAGAGCAGCCCAGCACATAAGAATTCTACAGTCAGGCAGTAGATTCCCACGCTTTTAATCCCAGCACTCGGGAGGCAGAGGCAGGTGGATCTCTGTGAGTTCAAGGCCAGCCTGGTCTACAAAGAGAGTTCCAGGACAGTCAGAGCTGTTTCAGAGAAACCCTGAAATCTTAGGGTTCACCTGATGAGAGACAAGCTGAGGCTTTTCCCATGTGGCTCTGTAAACCATGATCACTAAACAGAAATGGAAAAGTTTTAATTGCCTCAGGCCCTCTCTTCCCCGGAGAGTGTAAATGGCTTCCTGTGTTATCTATAATTGGGTATAATTCCATCTCCTGCTGCCTCAACAACCCACTACTCCCCCTCCCGCCACCACCCCTTAAACCTGCCAGGGCAGAGGACACTGGCCACCTCCCTTTCTTCCTCCACTCCAGGCCGTGTGGAGTAGACGACCACAGCCCTCTCATTTCCCACTGCCTCAGGAGACCCCAGGATGAGAACACCTCCTCAATTCTGAACAGAAGGCTTTTCAACACTTTTTAAAAAATTAATGGTACACTTTTGCTTAAATATATACAGACATATATGGGAGAAAGATTGGAAGGAAAAACACAAGAATAACGACCTCTTAAAAATGTATATAGCTGGGTGGTGGAGCACGCCTTTAATCCCAGCACTCGGGAGGCAGAGGCAGGCGGATCTCTGTGAGTTCGAGACCAGCCTGGTCTACAGAGCAAGTTCCAGGACGGCCAGGACTGTTATATAGAGAAACCTTGTCTTAGAAAATAAAATTAAATAAATGAATAAATAAATAGATATACAATAAATAGATAAAAATGTATATGTGTGAGTGCTTGCTTTCCTGGTGCCCTTGGTGGTCAGGAGGGAGTTGGCTCTCGTGGAAATGGAGTTATAGACGTTGTGAGAATCCAGGCAGATGGTGGGACCGGAACCCAGGTCCTCCACAAGAGCAGCAAGTGCCCTTATCCACTAAGCCCTCTATCTCTCCAGCCCCAAACAGCGAGAGAGCATTATGAGAAATTTAAGCTTTTTTTCTTTCTCTTTTCTTTGTCTGCTTGTTTTTGAGGGTTTCTCTGAGTAGCCCTGGTTGTCTTGGAATTCACCCTGTAGACCAGGCTGGCCTCAAACTCAGAGAGAGATCCTCCTGCCTCTGCCTCCTGAGTGCTGGGGTTAAAGGCCTGGGCCACCACCTTCCAGCTGGCTTTGTTTTTTTCAAATGATACATTTATTTCTAAAAGGTACTGTGTAGGGTGGATTTGACAAAAAACACGTATGTGCATGCATGAGATTGTGAAACATCTTTTAAATTACCCTATGTGTGTATAATGTATCAGTGTAGATGCTGTGTATATGTGTGTAAAGGTCAGAGGATAATTTATGTACGTGCAAGGTCTGGGAGTAACTTCCAGTGCAGAAATCAGGGGGTACTTTATGAGCGTTTATTAACACCATAAAGTAACCTCCCCTTTAGAGACAGGGTCTCACATGGCATAGGCTGGCCTTAAACTTACTATGCAGCTGAGGCTGGCCTTGAAGTCCTGATCTTCCCATCCCTACCTCCCAAGGGCTAGAATACAGGTGTGTGCCACCACTCCTGGCTGATCCCAGTGCTTTCTATATGACTTTTTTGTTCTCATTATTCTAATTTTAGTAAGGTCTATGAAGCCATAGAATGGCAATAAATGTAATTAACTTAAAATATGAAGTGTGCTAACAGCCTAATATGGCAAGTTGCCGTTATCTTTTTAAGTTGTCATAGAGTTTAATTGTATTTAATAAGCCATATTTGGGGGCTTTTTTTTTTTGGTTTTTCGAGACAGGGTTTCTCTATGGTTTTGGAGCCTGTCCTGGCACTAGCTCTGTAGACCAGGCTGGTCTCGAACTCACAGAGATCCGCCTGTCTCTGCCTCCTGAGTGCTGGGATTAAAGGCGTGCGCCACCACCGCCCGGCTATTTGGGGGCTTTTTAAAAGATTATTTATTTATTACATATATTATGCCTGCATGCATACCTGCACCCAGAAGAGGGCACCAGGTCTCATTACAGATGGTTGTGAGCCACCACGTGATTGCTGGGAATTGAACTCAGGAACTCTGGAAGAAGAGTCAGTGCTCTTAACTGCTGAGCCATCTCTCCAGCCCCCGGGGAAGGGGGCTTATTTGTTTAAGACAGGGCCTCACTATATAGGCCAAGCTGGCATCAATACCTTCCTTCCTCCGAGGGCTGAAATCACGTGTCCAGAGCGTACTCTGTACACAGCATATCTGACACCATTCAGAGAAGACACACAATACAGTGTATTGTTTTTCTTTTCAGAAAAGTACAAACATGCGCGCGTGTGTGTATGTGTGTAGCTTGTGGAGAGTGTGTATGTGTGTGTGTGTGTGTAGCTTGTGGAGAACAACTATGGGGTGTCAGTCCTAGGCTGTCGGCCTTGGAGGCCAGCGCATCTTTACCCCTTGAGCCATCTCTCTGGCCCAGAAGAGGGCACTGCGCCCACTGGAGCTGGGGTTACAGCGAGAGCAGCAAGTGCTCGACACAATTGACCGAACTATCTCTCTAGGCCAGTGGTTCTCGACCTTCCTAATGCTGCAACCCTTCAGTACAGTTCCTCATGTTGTGGGGACCACCAATTATTTTTGTTGCTGCTTCATAACTGTGCTTTTGCTACTGAGCAGTGTTCTTGGTTCCCGAGACCAGAGGGAAAGTGTTTTCCAATGGTCAAGACCAACAGGCTGAGAACCGCTGCTCTAGGTCACCATTTTCTTTCCCCTGGGATTGAATGCTAAGTGAGCATCCTCCCACCAAGCCCTCTGGTCCCTATTCCTACCCTCACTCCACAGCTCAGCTTTAAAATCAGTAATTAACGTTATTTTTACTTGGATCGTTTTCCCAGTATTTCCCCATCTTCTACATTTTCTATATTATAATATACGTGATCCAAGGCATCATTCTCAACTTCTGTGACTTTTGCTTTAAATTCAGCTGTTAAGTAAAGAAAATCTCAGCCGGGCATAGTGACACATGCCTGTAACCTGCACTCCAGCGTGAAGGTCTATCTCAGTTCAGAGTTAACGTGGGCCATCTCAGCAAACAAGAGAAATCCCATACCCCACCTTTCATGTTCACCGAAGATTCCTGATTCTCTGCCTTTGGGTGCACAGGTAAGGCTGAACTTCCCAGCCTCTATGTGTGTGTGGGAATATGGGACTAATTCCACCCACAGCAGAAATCATGAGTGGCGTGCCACTGAGAGACTAGAATGTTTCTTGTGTGACACCTCCCGTCGGCTTTCCAACAGCACCCCAGACAGTCGTGTCTGGCTCTAGGCTGTGAGACACACTCCAGCGGGAACAAAGCCCCATTTCCCCTTCAGTGGACACACAGTAAGAATGAGAAAGCCTGTCAGTTTTGGGCACTAGGATTTTGGACCTGTGTTCCAGGAAACCTAGCCTACCCTGACCGCCACAGTGTGCCTACAGTGTTTCCTACTCAAGATTGAAGTATTTATCAGGAATCATTTAAAAGGTTGTGTTACATTTTTGTTTATTCTGTGCACATGGATAAAGGTCAGAGGTCAAATGGGTAGAACTGGTTCTCTCTTTCCACCATGACAGTCTGGGATCGGCAGTCTACCTCTTGAGGATTCTTAAACGGAGTCTTGATATAAAACAATGCAGAGGCCCTCTTAACTGAAGTAGCATAGGAAAAGCTTTCTTTTTTCTCAAAAAAAAAACAAAAACAAAAACAAAAAAAAACAAAACCACAAAATGGAAAGATTAGGAAGCCCAACAGGCAAGTAGGGGAGAAGGAAATAAGGAAATGAAAGTAAGTGACCATCAGTGAAACTCCATACGCATACTTTCTCTCTCTCTCTCTCTCTCTCTCTCTCTCTCTCTCTCTCTCTCTCTCCCCCCCCCCCCCCACTCCCCCTCTCCCTCTCTCTCTTTCTCTTGTTCATGGTCCTGAGGACAGAATTCAGGAGCACATTGGAGCACATGCTCGCCAACAAGCCACACTGGCAGCCTTAGCCCGCACTGCCCACCTGACACACGGCACCTTGGTCTCAGACTGGATAAACCGTATCTGAGTATCTGACATAAGAGCACAGGAGAACTGCGTGGCTGGAAACAAGGGCAAACACAAGGGGCAGAAGAGGTCCTGCGGCACACCAGCTGTCAACCTCGGGACAGGGAACAGCAGACAGAACATCCTGACACGGCCTGCGTAGACTAAACTGTCCTGGGAATCGCGCTGGTCACGGCTGGAAACTGACTTTAAGCAGTGATGGGTTATTCTATTAGTACCAAGAGACTAATTTTAAAATTTAGCTAGGTTTCAGAAATACGAGAAGGTGGGTTTTACTGGTTTTGTTTCTGAGGCAGGATGCAGCCTCAAACTTAGGGCAATCCTCCTGTTTCCCGAGTGCTAGAATTACAGGTGTGTGCTACCACACCTAGCGGAAGAAATTTTTGAGAAACTGAATCAATCAAACTCATACAAGAGTACAAAACTAAACAAAAAAGACACTCTCTACCCTATGTCCCCAAACACACGCCAGCCCAGAGGACTCCTCCCTGCCTCCCCATGTCATGGCCTTGCTGTGTGCAGCATGTGTCAGGCTAAGCTAAATGGAAACCATGTTTGTAAGAACAGTCACAGTCCCACGTAGGAGCTGAGTCACGTGCCCCAGAGTTCATGACAGACTTGGGAAAAGGCTACTCCCCGACTGACGGGAAATTCCCCACCAGGGAGCCACAACATACTTAGCCCCTTCCTCTCACAGGACAGGGGAGACTCCCTTGGCTCTGACTGTTCTCGCTGGGAACTCCTGCCCTGACGCTGCTCAAAATTTCTGAATTTGGGAAATGAAGATTCCAGAACTATACTGTCATCTGAATTGTAAGTCAGTCCTATAGGGGTAACCACAGCTACACAGGTTCAAATCCCAGTTCTCAAAGACCTGTGACCCTGGGGGCTTTGTGTCTATTCCCCTTGCCTGTAAAATGGGAGAACAATGGTCTCTAACAACTCTGATCATTTTAAGGCCCGGGAGAACATATATGAACTACTCCAAGCCATGCCTGTGTATCGAGCAATCTCTGGCTTATTATTAACACTGTTGCTGTTACAGGCTAATCACAGATGGCAAGGATTTCCTCGAAATCCTCTTTGACCCCACCCTGAAAACCATTCCATAAAAAACATGGGTTAGGATCAAGTCCAAAGTCTGCTTCGAGGTTCTGTTCTTGGCAAAATTCTGTGGAAAAATCTGGCCACTCCTATTGACTGAGCCCCTGCTGTGAACAAGGTGCTGTGTCCGCTGATAGGAACTGTTGTGCTCTGATCATCCTGCCCGCGTCCAGGGCACTGGGTCACCAGGGAGCTGTGCTTCAACAGGGTCTTGGAGGGTAACTCCTTGATAGCCAATGTGCTCTAGAGCTAAGTGCCGTAAGTTGGCCATGATATCAGCTCAACTGTCCTTTGAAAATAAACTTAAAAGAAATAAAATTAACTTGTACTTGTGCAAGTTGTGTGTTGGAACATCAATCCCATAGTGCCTCACAAATGTGGACAGCTCCTCATACATTAACTAAAATAACACAGTGAGTGAGTATTAGCCCGTTAGCATTAAGTGGGTTGCTAACGGTCTCTTTCATGTCCCAGGAAACAACTTGAGTAAAATTCCTCCAAATCACCTCAGGGACAGAAAGTCCAACACTGACTTTTCCCTGGGAAATGTGGTCTGGAGAATGGCCAGGGGCCTCAAACTAGAACCCGGAACCCTGCTTCATGGTTTTTGTTTGGTTTGTTTGTTTGTTTGTTTGTTTTTTGAGGGTACTCCTGGATTTCTGGAGTCTCCTTGCTCCGCCTGTTTCAGGGACGTTAAGCCTGCAGAGAAGCTCTCTGGGACTCTGTGATCTGTGCCCCTCCTCCTTCCAGCTCAGCCCTTAGACAACCTGAGACGAGAGTGACAGCCACGGCCCCTAACAACAGAGTGATTCCTGAACGCCCCCAGCCCCAAGGCGAGCAGACAACCTGAGTACCTCCCAGGTGCAGATGACCCTACTATAATGCTATCTATACAAGTTTCCTATAGCCCACCTCTCCCAGGCAAGCCTCACAGGCTCGGGGCGTGGGTGTGCCTTGGTTAAGAGCAGTCTCCGGTACGTGCTTAAGTCCGCTCAACCCTCGAGGAGCACTCAAAGGCCACCTTTTCCACACACGCCACCCAGGTCTTGTCTGGACAAAGCAAATTCCTTCTGAACAGGAGCCGGCAGATGTGGCATTTACCCCATACTTCTTCGGTGCTGCAAGCCCACACGGCATCACCTCCTGGCTTGATTACTTCCCAAAGTAAGAGTTATGTATGCCCCACCCACTTCTGAGTTAGAAGATGCTATGGCATCAATTGAGAGCCTGCTAGAATTGCAAACTCTCAGGATCTAGCTCATACGTAGGGCCTGTGTTTAAATATGCCTCTGCTACACACTGCGGCCTAAGACCCCTGGGATACGGGTTTGCGGAATGACTGGCAGCAGAGTGTGAATCCAAGCACAAACCGGTTTCTGTGGTCTCAGGCAATGTGCTGGTCAAACAGAAACATCTCTTCCCACCTCATATGGGCCCAGGGCCTGGTTCAGGTTACAGCAACCTGAAAACTTGCTGGACAAAACTCAAGGTCAGCATGTACCCGTGGGCTGTGGGGCTGTACATTGTGTGTACGTCAGTCCTTAGGACACAGGCAAAATTAGTTCAGCAGAGGTAAAAGGGCTGGTGGGAACGGCATTGCCCCCAGGGCCTTTCTTGTGAAATGAAGAGGTGCCTCGTCTGACCTTGCCAGTGATCACTGGCTCAGTTTTCTCTCCCACAGAAAGGGGGGCAAGAGGTAGGAAACCAACTCAATGCCAGTTACTTTTGCATTTCTGGCAAAACTGAAAGGCAGTGAGAGGGAACACGGGTTACAACCACAAGAAGTACATTTTTTCAGCACTTGGGAGGAAGAGATAACAGAATTTAGCTCTTGGTCAGCCTGAGCTACACAGCCATTTCCAGACCAACTATATACGAAAAAATGTATCTTAAACAAACAAAAAACCAATAAAAGAGCATGTGTTGTTTTGCTGAGAACTTTACAGCTTGATCCAACCCTCCAGTCCCCTCCTGTGCACTTCTTGAAAAAGCCAGGCCCCAAATAAGGAGGAAGAACTAAGAATCTCATAGGAGGGACAGTGTCGATTGCGTTGGGTGGGTTACTCAGTCTAGGGGTTTGTAACCAACCCTGCAATCAGTTATTCCAGGGTCTCGGAGGGGCGCTACCTGGAAGGGAATGAGCTAAGACAGAAGAAGGAGGCCAAGCAGATTTGTCAAAGCCTCCGTTTATTAGGGACGGGTTACAGTTTATATATGGTAAGGAATGGGGGGCAGGGCACGGGATCTCGCCCCGTGGTCCTGGTCAGGTAGGCCAGGAGGTCACAAGTTGCCACACCTGGTTCCCTGGATAGCTGGAATGTGAGGCGGGTTCCGCTAACAGATTAACAGTTAATTGGATGTGAGGCAGATTTTGTCAATAGAACATAATTATGGGTGTGGGGTTCTCTGCAGACTCCCTAGGGTGATTCCTGTAATGATTTTTAGAGGGGAAATGGCTCCTGACAGGACAGAAAAATACGCACTGGGCATCTCCAGCCCAAGAAGTCACCACTGGGCACAGGCCTCCAAATGCCTCTCTCTGTGGTCTCCATCCTGGCGCTCCGCCACCCCCACCGCACACCCGGAGTTGGGAAGCCTTGCCACTTGTACAGGGAGGCTGCTCTCTCTCTGTTGGGCCTCCCCACTTCCCCAGATGACTGTGGACAGAAGTGAGACAGAAGCCTCTCTTCCCAGACAATCTTCCTGCCACTTGCTTCTCTTAGCCCTTGCCACTGGCCCACCTCTTGGCCCGGGCTTTGCTCTCCCTCGCAGCCCAGGAGGTTCTGTCAATCTGAGATGGGGCCATGAGCAACCCCGCTTCTTTCCGTAAGCGGTGCCGGCTGGGCCCAGGCCCCAGAAAAACAAGCTGGAGCTCTGTGCTTTTTGGCAGCCCGGCTTCGCCTTTTGTTTTGACAAGGGGTGGAAGGGAGAATTTGAACCCTGTGGTTATCTGCATTTTAAAACATTTAAACACAGTGAGTCCACCTGCTTGGCACTCGGCACTGTTTAGCCAGTTTCTCGGCCCTGCGCCTTCTAAACCAGCAATTCTGTACCCTCCTCTTGCTTATATACACGGGAGCTTGGTGGGGATCTCGACGCTCTGTCCTTTCCCACACTCGTCCTGGAAAGGGAAGGGTAAGGAAGAGGTCCTATTTGATGACCCACCCATGCTGGCTTTCAGAGACCGTTGCATTTCACAGGGAGGGAGACTTCCCAGCCAGGAGTCCAATCTCCTTGCCAGATCAAATACTGGTCCTAGCTGTTTTCCTACCATATCACTAACTGGGAGGAGTGGGTGAGGGGAGAGGGCAGGAAAGGCCCATAGGGGACAGTGGGAGTAAGGGCATGGTTTGACAAGCCGATCCAATGTCTGGTTTTCTACGGAGCAGGGGTGAGGGCTCAGAATCGTCTGGGCAAACAGTCCGCGGTTGTTTCTTTTGAGAAGCAGCTGTGGGAACCTCGGCTGTGTCAGTCACCTGAGCCTGCTCTCCCCATCCTCCCACTCTGTCTGGCCGTCAACACTGTCTCATTTGAGTTCTAAAACGATCAGGGTACAAAGTGTGTTGGGCAAAAGCCCTGTCTGACAACCTTGACCTCTGGAGAGGCAGACTGCGTTCCCATCATCAGCCCACGGTGCCCAGAGGGTACCCAAGCCCTCCTCCTCTAGAAAGGAATCACTTCCGCAACCCGGAAGCAGATGCTACTCACCAACACTGTCCCCAAGAGAATCAGAAAAGGCTGGCCAGCCCGCGGTTTCCCAAGGAGCAGAGGCAGTAACCGGGACCCTGGGATGCCAAGAACCCCCTGGGCAAGGACTTACACCAGAGTTCATAGTAGTAGTTGCAGCACTGAGACTGTCCACAGCAGTGTCCTGTGTCACAGATGTAGCTTTGATTGTTGGTACCCACACAGGCTTCCTTATCCTACAAAAGCAAGAAGCAATGGAGCAGGTTACACGACAGCGTGTGCCCACTGTCTGCCGCCCCACCCCCCTCGGTCATCTGTCTGTCTGTCTTCCGAACACCCGTTATGGAAAAGAAAGAAAAGAAAAAGACCTGACCACAGCAGAGTTTAGAAAAACAAAGGTTGATTTATTAGGGAAGGGTCATAAAACACAAAGCCACTTGGTAAAAAGTGAGGCTCCCCTCAGACAGGACGGGGGAGGGGGATAAGGAGGCATACTCCATGTCCAAGGAAAAACAGTTCATGTTTAGTGCCGAACTCAGTTGCCAGGAAGGTGACGATCCCCCTGTGATGACCAGTAAATGAAATCACTTTCTATAAAACTTTCCGGAATACTGAATGCAAACAGGACGCTAGAATTACCATCCATTCAGTCATTCAGATCTCCCTTCCAAACTCCCTCCCAGACTGCTAACAGTAAGATTCAGAAGATGGTTTGGAAGCAAACATGGGCTGGGGATGTAGCACAGTTGGCAGAATACTTGCCTAGAATGCATGAAACCATGTGTTCAAACCCATCACTGCAAAAACCGCGGGTGATGGTGTTGGGGGATATTCTATCTCACTGTGAACCCCAAGTTAGCACTTGGCATTAATTAAATAAAATTAATCTTGGGTCAGGAGGCTGCATCAGCAACTAATTGACAGAAAGCAATCACAGAGTATCAGCGGGCATCCAGAAGACTGGAGAGAAGCACCAGAAGTAGCCGAGAGGAATTTGGAGTGACGCTGCTTTTGTTTGGCAGAGCCGAAGGATGCCCTCTTTGGCAGATGATGCCAGCAAGGAGAGAAAGCTGGCCAGCTAGCTGCTACTCAGCCTCTCTGAGCTAGCAGGTTTTCACCCCAGCCTTTGAATCTCGAGTCTTATTTATAAAGAGAGTAATAGAGATTCAGTTAAAGCTACCTTAGCAGCAACAGAGCCAGTACCTATGGGAACAGAATTCCCACCAGGTTGCTGCCTGAGCTGCTAAGCTCCTGCCAGAAACGCAGGCTGGTGACTGCAACTGCTGGCTGAAATAACAGTACATTAAGTCATAGCCATTGTGCTGAAGTCAAACCCACAATTGGATGGTGGTGGCAAAGGCCTTTAATCCCAGCACCTGGGAGGCAGAGGACCTCTGTGAGTTCAAGGCCAGCCTGTTCTAGTTACAACTAGAGCTAGTTCAAAGAAAGCTAGGGCTATAACACAGAGAAACCCTGTCTCAAAAAACAAAAGAACAAAAACAAAACAAAACCCAACATGATATTGCACACCTGTGGTCCCAGGACTTAGGGGGTAGGGGTAGGAAGCTCAGAAGTTAAGGTCACCCTAGGCTACACATGACCCTACCACAAACAAACCCAAAAACAAACCCCAAATAAACAGATACACAAAACAAAACCACAAAATCATTTCCTCTGAGTCTTTACTCAAAAAAAAAAAAAGTGGCAAACCTATTCAGGAGGCCCAGAAACTTCAATTTTCTAGAGCATTTTTACTTACTGGATGATGTCCTGAAAGTCCTGACTTGAGCCACGATCCACATGGTCCCTCATCAGGGCAGTTACATAAAGGGCACTGCCGAGCAACCACGTAGCACTTTGCCAAATTCTATTCATAGCATTGGGGGACGAGGATGGGAGTGAACTCTTTTAAAATCTAGTTCCCACTAAAGCTATGAAATGCCAACCAGGCATGGTGGCTACATGTGTAAGCCTAAACTTCTGGAGGCTGAGGCAGGAGGATGGCTTTGAGCTCAAGACCAGCTTGGGCTTCACAGTGAGCGAAGTTCATCCTAGGATACAGTATCTGTGTCAAAGAGGAGGCAGAGGCTGGAGATAGCTCAGCTGGCAGTGTGCCTGCTGTGTAAGCGTTAGGAACTAAGTTTGGATCCCTAGGACCCACATAAAAATCTGGGCATGGTGGTGCACTTCTGCAATTCTAGCAACATGGTAGGAGTAGGTGCAAGATGAGGAGCCTATCACAACATAAAGGACCTGATGGAGACAGGAAGATGCCAGCTAACCAGCCTCGCTGATTTGGTAAACACCATGTGCAGTGAGAGACCATCATTCAAAAAATGAAGTGGAGGAGCTGGAGATATGGCTCCGTGGTTAGGGGCACCGGCTTGTTCTTCCAGAGGACCTGAGTTCAATTCCCAGCACTGACATGGCAGCTCACAACTGTCTGTAACTCCAGTCCCAGGGCTTCTAGTGCCCTCACACAGACATACATGCAGGCAAAACACCAGTGAGCATAAAATAAATTATATATTAAAAACATGAAGTGGAGAGTAACTGAGAAAGACAGTAAATGTCAGCCTCTAGCCTTCCCATGCACACCCGTGCACAGACACACACACACACACACACACACACACACGAATGAAGTAACATACTAACTAACCTTAACCTCTGCTAAGAAGTATTTTGAGCAACTTCACACACGTATGCTGAAACTTCCACAAGCCATCTGCCATACCTGGCTTTCAGTGTTTCATTTACTATCATCAGTCTGTGCCAAGCACCATCTTGGGTAAGTGGAACACAGAGATAAAGAAAACATTGTTCCTAACTTTAACAAGCTCAAAGTTATGAAGAAAAACCCTGCTCGAGCAAAGAAACGCAACCTGATGGGTAACATTTGCATCTACTGCCCCTGCCCACTGGCATCCATCCCGGCAGACGGCTGCCAGGGGAAACTCAAGTCACATGGCCAGCTCTAGCCTTACTACGTTGGCTTCAAGCATAAACAAAGCATCTAAGGCCAGGCAGCTACAGGAGGAGACAGGAAAACAGGCACAATTGTGTACCAGATCCTTCCGCAGGGCACACCTCTTCCACACACCTTCAGGGCTCCCACAGCTCTTTAAAGTCTTCTACCCAGGCCAGCAAGATGACCCAATGGTTAAACTGAGTCTGAGTTTGTTCCTCCAAACCCACGATGGGAGGAGAGCGCCAACTCACCGAAGTTGTCCTCTGACATCTGTCTGTGTGCTGTGACATGTGCACACACACAGAATAAGTGTGCATACCCACACGCACACAAGAAGAGAAGACAACACTAATTTTAAGAAAGAACTCTTACACCTCAGGATGAACAAGCTCCGAAGGAAGCCACGAATGGGCAGTAAAGGCTGCAGCGAGTCTCACAGCATTGCCAGGTTCTTTATTCTCGCGTCCCGAGCCCAGTGAAAGCAGGATGCTAACTAGCAAGCAGCTGTCTGATTAGAGGCCTCTCAGAGGCATGGTGCATGTGGAGACAGCAGAGTGGCACTTGCTACATTCCCAGAACCCAGCCACTCTGGCTTCAGAGCAAACCACTTCTTTAATGAGGATATCAAGTCTCTCCAAGTTCACCAAGTCCTGCCAATGCCACTCTTTTGACACTAATTTGAAAAGCAAGTTTAAAGTATTCATGTAGCTTTAAAACAGGGCATGCTTCCTCTTCCCCGGCAAATACATCCAGAGAGCCTTCTGCCTGGGGTTCAGGCAGCGACATGACCCGTGTGACAAACACACTTGAAATCTAAACAAGTAACGCCCTGAAGACCTACTGGTGTCGGCTCTGCTCTTGGCTCTTCCACACTCCTGTTAGAAACAGGACCCCCCTCCACTCTGCCTTGCTGCTGGGCTCCAGTGCAGAGCTAGCTGTCTTAGCACCCCTTAACCCAGTTCCTCAAACCCACTTTAAGTCAACTGCCTAGCCCACCCCGTGCCTGCTCTGCACGGGTCCTTCATCCCCAAAGGCAGGACACCCCCTGCACTCTGCACCAGTCTTGTTCTAGGGAATTGCCCCTCTGCGGAATGAAAAGGCAAAGGAGGCAGGCAGTGAAGACAGGGTGTAGAGAGGCTGTTAGCATGCAAGATACAAAGGAGGATGAAGGAAGACCAAGGAGGGTTACAGGGATGAGAAGTGGGCTCCGCCAGTCAGCCCTGCAGTAGGAAAAGAACCTGGCAGGCTTAGATTCCACCTCAGTCCTGCCACTTCAGAGGAACAAGACTTTGGGTGATCGACATGACTGCCCTACAGTTAACGTGACCTGTAACATCTTTAATCTTACGGCTTTTTGGTTTGGTTGGTTGGTTTGGGTGCTGGGAATGGAACTTGCATGCTAAGTGCAGGCTCTGTCTGGTTTCTTCAAACCCCTTGCCTTATCACACCTCCGACACGGCATCCACAAGTCAATATAAGAGTTCATAAACGCCATGGCTCCTCTCACTCAAGCCCCTCCATAAGCAGCAGCTCAGCCAGAGATCACCACTGGGGGGGGAGGGTGTCAAAGACCGCTTGTAGGTCAGTACCCACAGAACTCAAGTAGTTAAGAGTGAGTTGGGTCTGAGACCAAAGCCCCATTCCTGCACGGGGTTTATTTAATACGCAGCCTCGGAAGGCTAGTTTCCCCAGGCGGCTATCAGCATTGTTCCGTGAGCCCTGGTTATTGCTGGGCATGGAGGACCATCCAAACAGCACTTTGTCCTCCCCGGCATCAGCAAAAACAGAACAAGCTGCCACGGCCTGTGGGGCTTGTCACACACATGACAAACTATTGAGCATACAATAGGATGGTCTAAAATTCCCAGCCCTCCCCATGACTGCCACACTTCCCCCAGGCCTCTTCAAGCACAGGACACTCATGCTGTCCCGGCCCAGGCCTGAGTGGTATGGACTGATTTTCCTGAGGCTTGGAACCTTGTCTTCTCAGTCCCTCTCCCTTCCCAGGACATCACACGCCACGAGGAGCCAACGGTCACGTGATCTCTCCCCACAGAGGCAGGGCAGGCTGAGGGAATGGGAACTGCTGGGGCTAGCACGTTAGGAGCCAGCGCTGCTCTAAATGCTTTCCACGGGGTCCTTTATTGAGACTTCAAAGGAACTACGAAGTAAGAGAGATGGGAGCTGAGGGCCAAAAGCCACAAGGCAAGGAAGGGACCCCATCAAGCTCGCGTGACTCCAGACCAGAGCTTTCCACCACCCGGCCTCCCTGTGGAGGCTGGGCCTCTTCTGCAACTCTCCCATCCTTAGCTGCTGAGATGAAATCTTGAGTCAAACAAGTAAGGATTCGCTTTTGAGGGAAATGACAAAGGCCCAGCTCTCAGACTTGGGAACAGTGTGCCTCACCTACACCAAGCTGTGAGAAGGGGGACATGCCCAAGCTCCTCCCTTCTGAGCTCAAAATGCCAGGCTCTGACACAATAGGGAGTGGAAGAATAGGAGCTCACCTCAGGGAGGTATGGAAGCGTGCAAGCCCCACCCACCCTTCTGCAAAGTGTGCAAGCCACCGCCCCCCCTTCTGCAGCCCTTACTCCTTTACTGACAGCCTTGAGCTGGGGCGGGGGGGGGGCACACGGCAAGTGAACAAAGCCTCCCACCGTAGAAGGATCTTTAAAGCATCTAATAAAAGGCAACAGAATAATCACAGGTGTAACGGCGATGGAGCACGCAGACGCGAGGGCCAATCAAGGCAGCCTAGATGGCATCTGGGAGGAAGGTAAGCTTCACTTGGGACGGAAAGGATGATTAGAGAGCGTGTAACTACAGGAAAGGCCCGAGAAGAACGTTCCAGGATAAAAACACTCTCAGCAAACTTCTTTGGCCAGGAGATGCCTGGAGAAGTAAGGAGGTTAGGTGAGCCAGGGCCTAACAACCCAGGAAGAAGACAGACAGACTGACTTTTTAAAAGTTACTTTCAGCCTCCTCAGATACTGTAGGCACATGGTGCACACACATACATTCAGGTGAAAACCTATACACATAAAATAAAAATATTTATTTTTTTTTTTGTTATGTATACAATATTCTGTCTGTGTGTATGTTTGCAGGCCAGAAGAGGGCACCAGACCTCATTACAGATGGTTGTGAGCCACCATGTGGTTGCCGGGAATTGAACTCAGGACCTTTGGAAGAACAGGCAATGCTCTTAACCACTGAGCCATCTCTCCAGCCCCGACTGTATTATTTCTAAAAGTGCCTCATTCTTGGGCCTGTTGTCAAACGATTTTAATGAGATAATATGAAAATTAAAACTAATTCCTAAGCNTGTGAGCCACCATGTGGTTGCCGGGAATTGAACTCAGGACCTTTGGAAGAGCAGGCAATGCTCTTAACCACTGAGCCATCTCTCCAGCCCATAAAATAAAAATAACAAAAAGAAAAAGAAAGAAAGGAAGAAAGAAAGAAAGAAAGAAAGAAAGAAAGAAAGAAAGAAAGAAAGAGGGAGGTAGAGAAAGAAAGAAAAAAGAAAAAACGAATCTGCAGTTACCCTTTCCTGGAAAGACATCGAAAAGTCCATATAGAAAAAAAAAGTAAAAGGCAGAGCATATCAAAAAGGAACTGTAAAACCCAAGTGTTCTTGGGGCTGGAGAAACAGCTCTGGTCAAGAGCACTGGCTGCCCTTCCGGAGGACAGGGGCTCAATTCCCAGCACCACATAACGGCTCACAACCATCTGTAACTCCAATGCCAGGAGATCCAATGTCTCCTCTGGCCTCCAAGGACACCGCACATACATGGTGCACAGGCCCCACACACACACACATTTTTAGAAAGTGCTGTTACGCTGAGTCCTTCACCTTAAGGACGGCAGTGGTGAACTAGCGATCTCTCTTCCATGTGTACGGCCCTGGCACGGCTCACTGTGAGCAGCTCCAAGAGACACCAAACAAAACAGAGGGGCACAAAGACGAAGCAGCTGAAACCAACACAGGGCCGGCGAGAACACTCTAACAATGAGAAGAGCTGAAGAGTGCATCTTCTGCACATAAGCAAACAATTATCTCATTTCTTTAGTGGCGAC